GTTTTTCGCACTTGTCCCTAGACGGCAAGACCACCGCTACAAACAGTTCCTCGAGTCGTGGACTGTGATACTGAGTCTGATCGGAAGTTTTCTCCTGCCGAACCAAGCTCGCTCATTTCGCACGCACTCCGCTGCTCCGACACGTCCGAGGCCGTATGCCTCGTGCTTGCTTTCAAGAACCATGTCCAATATTGCGGCGATGCTGGTTCAACGTGCCGTACTTTGCTTCCAACATGGCAGTGTAGTGCCTGCTCGAATACCTCAAGATATGTTGGAGACGTGCAGGTTAGCAGAAAACAGGTGCGATCCTATCAATTTGGCCGAGTGGAAAACGCCTGCACGGCGATTACGATCTACAAGTCCGCCGTTCCGCTTCGGCGACAAGGGGTAACCGCGAGACCACCAGAACTAGAGCAAGACCGGAACATCGCTTAGGCCACTGATGACACGGCCAACAGTCTTTTGTCTCTACTGAGCGCGATGATGATCACCCGACTGTGAACTCAAAGACGAGGAGCCATGCCGTCCCGTCGCTCGGCTTGTGCCAACGGCAACATGGGCTGGACGAGTCCAGGTCTGTTACGCCTCGATGACTATAAGTGCCATTGCGCTGTCTGGCGTTTCCGACCATCACCTCGTTCATCGGCACTCACCTGCACTCATTGCTGCCGTCGAGACTTCTCTTACACTTTCAGTTCTCTGCTTCAGACGGACATGTCCCAGCTACCGGCCCAGCCATCGTGTAGGCCACCGGGTCACTTGTCAGACGAAGGAAACCTTGCCTATCAACAACCCACTGCCGCAGGCTCGTCGAAGTCAGCTAAGGTCTCGTCAGAGTCTGCCCAACGTGGCTCTCAATATCTCCGCAATAGCCCAGCGGGCATGAATGCTCAGTCCGCCGTTACAGGTCTGCGACGATCGCCTGCATCACCTGACGCAATTGACATCGATCGCCTCCTGGCTCAGCTTCAAGACTCAACAACAGAGCCGTCCTCGAGGCATGCAAGAGAAGCCCAACTCAGCCCCGGCTCAGGACAGACCGGAAACAGATCTCTCGAAAATCGCATGCTGTCTGGCGTACAATCAGATTTGCCCATGTAGGCGTAGCTACAAACGGTGTATGAAAGTACTAATCATAAATAGGCACAGCATTGCAGAACGACTAGAACGACTGAAGAAGGGTCTCTGCAGACTCGAAGAGGCCAAAGAATTCCAACGAAAAAAAGTTGGCGCCACGAACAACCAGTGAGCTACCTTGACTCCACTACAGGCATGTAGCACAATTCTTACGGTATTAGACTCGGGCGTATCAACGAGGATGTGAGAAAAATCAAGACGTCTATAGACTCGTTGATGCCGCCACTTCCATTCGCTGGGAACAGTTTTGGGGACGGAACCCAATGAAGGACGACAATCTCGGTCCGAAAGTCTTGAAAGGATGGCACTCTACTATCGCCAGTTGAACGCTAGACAACATGATAGATAGGAAGTCACCCTGGGTACTCGGCTCCTCCACAATGCGCTGCACATCAGCCGGTTCTGGCGCCTTCATCTCTTCGACTGCTCGACATCGCGGCATCTACCTTACGATGATGTGACTGCCTCATCTCACGACGGCCGTCGGTTGGTCAGGTCATGTCGCAGCAAACCCCTCAGGCCTGACGAGCGTCGCAATGCCTTCAATGCTTTCTGTCTGAACTTGACCAACACGGGTTGGGCTCGAAGTCGTTCTTACTGTGTACAAACCACCATAGTCAGCATTAGGAGAATATGGCCACTGTCGAAGCCGATGATGATATGTTCAAGTAGCACTTGATTGCACGCTGCCACTCGCACTGTCGTATATTATCCTGACCCCACATTTTTTGTTTGCAAACCAGTCGCTCAAGCCGTTACTAGAGGTCTGCGGAAGCCCATCACAGCAGTTTGCGGATTCTCAAACATTGGTAATGTTTGTGAGAGGGGAAGCGACATGTGCACAATACTGTGGTTGCTTGGGCTCACGCGAAGGTTGGGGGGATCCAACCCAGATGACCTCTAAGTAGATCCTGCTACCGGGCCCTCGTATGAGATATCATGTCGAAAACGTGCCATAACTCCCGATCTACCATGGCCTCATCCCGGCCGCCCTCCATAGAATCCCAATAAGCAAACAAACTCGACGCACGCTATTTCTGTGCGTCAATCTCCGGCTTCCAGCTCTCTACTCCTCTCTCCCTCTCGAAACGGGTGTCGCAGCTTTGATCATAGCGATGCTCGAGAATTGTGATTACAGAGACGGTCTGCCAGCCGGTCGCGACGGCCGTTGCTGCGACTTCGATTTCGAGCTTACTCACGCGTTGTGCTGATCCAGGATCTGGTTTCGGCATAACTGGCCTCGACATCTGTGGCTTTCAATAGGTTAGTGCCGAATATCGTGCAGCAAACGGGGTATCATACTTGGCATTATGTTCTCCCAAAAGACCATGGTTCAAACTCGCCGAGAAAGCCCCTCACATCTATTGAAGTGTGCATAGCGGCCACCGGAGCCATTGGAGTATGGGTCAGCATTTTCGGTAGGTAGCTAAATGATGGCCTCTTCTCAGTTGTCGAGAAGGCCAGCAAGACGCATCGTTTTGTCGATGTTTTCCACGAGCAGGAGTATATATGGAAGACAACGGATTCATGACGATGAATGGAAGTCGAACGATCTAGGCAGCTAGCCGGACTATTCACCACTTCAAGCTTTCGTTCCATCACGTCTTACACCAACGCTGAACTAGCACATCGATGATAGCGGGCCGCTTTTGGGTGAAGCAGGAGCCTCAAGCACAGCCTGACCAAAGCAGCAAGGGGACGTTCTTATAATGGAGCCGTTGGACTCGTATGTATACTGAAGTTATCTCTAACTCTTGAATACTAGTCCACCCGCCTGTGGCTCTGACTTCTTACTGCTGGGGGTCGAGCGGGGGACGACTGGGCCCCAGTTCCGCGCGCCTTTTCGGAGCGCGGCCTTCGCATTGGCCCATCAGCCGGGCTACGAGGTCTAGCGGCCGGCCTCCGCCGCGACGCTTGGGCTAGATTCCCCTAATCAGGTACTCTGATGGCCGTGCAGGCTGTCTCCAAAAAACGCCAGTGAATCATGATGATATATCGCATGCCAAGAGGTCTAGCTATATAATGACGAATATCATTCATCAACCTCGTACACTAGTTCAGAAATCCGAGAGAAGACAGAGTCTAAAAGACGACCACGTTGACCTCTGATCAGACGTCCAACCACAAGTCAGACGCAAGGAGTTTGCCCCGATGGCATGGCATAACTGGCAGGATAGAAAATTGTCACCAGGAATAGATTATTGTGAAGAGCGTATGCAAGTTTTCGACGTCTGATCACATACAACTTATACCCACGTTCTCTACGGTGATTTGCGCTTCCCGATTACCGGAGCCTTCAGGAGATAGGAGACCCAGTCAAGGACCAATATGTCGTCGGGAGAGTCAGTGTGATGCCTCTCGTCTAAGCCTGTTTGCTGGCGCATAATGATCCATTGATTGGTTACTACCGCTTCAGGTGTAGTGCCTGGATCACCTTCTCGATGGGGTTATGACACCGGCAGCGGAAAGCGGGCAGACTCATCACGATGAGCCTTCAAGCAGTATATATAAGCTGCGTGTCTCGTCTGAGGGTCATGCCACTTCATCAACTCCATCCAACTCGTGGTTAAGATCATTCATTACCCTGCTCTTATTTTGCATCTCTAGAACTCGTCATGGAGGCATGCGTGCGTACTGTTGGTAGTAGGAGCGAGCTTTCGAACCGAGTCCCGTCTGATCTGATCTCAGATCCCGCAATTCCCAGTGCTTCGAAGCCGTTCCCGCTTCTCCAGTTGCCGCCGGAAATCATCCTCGATCTTTTCGACCTCTGGAAGGATGACGATCTTCGGAGCCTGCTGCATATCTCATTGACCAGCAAGCGTCTTCGATTCTCATCCATCCCGTGCCTATTCAAGTCGATCAAGGTCTGGATCAACAAACGCCAGGTAAGCTCCTTATTAAGAGCCATCAGGGGAAACGAACAAATCCTTTCGGCAGTCAGGTAATCACGGACTTCATGCTCTGTCAAAGAGGATTATACAGTGTTTGTGCTTACAAATGCTTCAAGGTTATTCACTCTCCGCATCCGATGGCTTCCAAAAGCAGTTGATGAGCCCCACTACAATGCAACACCAGCACTATTTGCTTAAGTCCTCTGCTGTATGAGCGGTCTAAGAGAGCTGACGCTCGACTTCGGGTACAGGGAAGAGTCTTTCAACCACGCCTTCAATGTTGTTCTCCGTCAATGCATCTTGCCTTCGGTAAACCTGCTACAGTATCGAGCTTTGACAATTCACGACTTTCGTTTGACAGTGTTTCCCAACGCGCGATCATTCCTTTTCGATATTCGCAGCCAACGTCAACTGCTACCCATTCTTCAAGACATTTCTTCGCACCCTCAGTTGGAAACCCTGCAGATCAACAAACATGATTGGTCTCTGAGAGATGTGCAGGAGGTAGTGGCCCATGTTCACAACATTCGGTTTCTCCTACTGAGAGGCGAACTAGATGGGGTGAGAGTGTCGGTATGCAACTCGCTCTTCATGTTGGTACATGATACAGTCTCTGATACATGTGTGCTGATCGAACGTAGGAGCTTATTCCAGCCATTCAACAGCTTCCTAGGCTTCAAAAGCTCGCCCTTACTACGAAGCAGAAAGCGGTATACCCGCCAGGTCCCTTGGGCGACTCTCAAATGGACGAAATCATTTCGCAGAAGGAGAATCATCCACTAAATGAGCGACCTGCCGCCAACGCTTTACGACTCTTTCAGCAGTGCCGGAGTCTACGAAGAGTGTATCTACCGCCATACTGGTACCGTCCGTTTGAATATTCTGGGAAGATACTCGGTGTAGTGCAAATGGCTCCTCGTCCTCCAGATATACATAGTGAAATCCGAGAGTGGCCAGCAATCTCTGAAGTTGCCAGGCGTCAGGCTTGGATGCTATAACCGTGAGCATGTTCGTCCCGATGTATCCGATGGTATAGTCAAGAAGTAGATACAGTATCTTGTGACTATATCAGGCCTCCGCTTCCTCAACAAAGACGTCACGCTTTACTTTGCGTAGTACAAGACATTTACCTTTGCCGTACGATTTAGGATAGTGTTCCTTCACTATGTCCCTACTATGTCCCTACCCCACCGTGATCCGCTACGAAGCCCTCAGTTGTGAACAAAGTGACTTGATGGTCGCATGAGATCAAGCCGACAGTCTTAACATTTTCAGCTACCACGTTGCCAAAAAGACAGGGACCATTTTCTGTTTTTCTGATCCATGTGGCATTTTCAAGGCCATTTGCCATGAGAAGCTTTTCGACATTGTGACGCGATATCAAAGCTGTTATGGACAGCGACTATTCATTCACCTCTGTTGCTGGTGCGCGTTGTTCGCCGACTTCTGTCGGAGCCTGATAGATTCACCTTGTATGCACGCATACGCCAAAGGACTAATTCCAGAGGGCTTGTCGACCATTCCTTCTGTAACATTGAAGATCTGGGGAAACGTCGATCGGTGCCGAGAAACCATAGCCTCATGCAGCTCCGGTTGTTTTTTTGGTTTCTTGTAACCCACCTCGGAGACTTCCACACTCGGCGTTGGCGTCCTCGAGCTTTACTTCCAATTCTGCTTTGGCTCGCTGCTCTCTGCTTGCCGATGCGTCTATTTCTCAAGGACTGCTTCTCAGCTGATCTCTCTCCTTGAGGCAATTTTGCACCTGCGTACGCAATTTCTATTTCCTACCTGCCAGTTGGGTCTCTTCTACCAGCTAGCTCATCTTAGAACAAATCAAACGGAAGCGGTAAGGCTCGTACGAGTTGGTGTCCGTTTTTTGCGTCGTCTATAACAGCAGGGGTTGCCTGGAACAACCTGCTGATACCCGCGCAGATCTACCTGTACGCGTCGACGGAATGCGTACTAACGTTTCTACCGAACAGCAGGGCGATGGCGGATGGACAGTCTCACGCGTACAACTCATCTTCTGTCGTCTTCTGTTGTTTTCATACGTACTTTCGAGCCCTCCACAACAAAACCCAGACGCTCATCCCCTAGTCGTCTGTTTAGAGTAGTCTCAAATATCTGTCAGGCGGGCATTTCCTGCATCTGGTTTCCAAGCATGGTGTTCAACATTACCAGCCTTCGGAGGCATCCCACCATCTTCCTGGCACTTAAAACGATACTCGTATTGAGACAGTCATCGAACTGTGTTCTGTTAAGTCCAACGTCAAGTTGCTTATCGAGCCGAGATTCCGAGCGGAGTCATACCGCGTCAAAGGCCGGAATAGGCTGTTGTGGGAGGCGATTGTAGTTTTGGTCATTGACGCTGGCAAAGCAACATCGACACGCCCCTGTCAAAGTCAGTTCCACAGTACTGTATTCCCTTTTTCCTGGCGTCAGTTCTGCGCATGCAGGCGTCCAGACAACGGTGTCGTTTGCGAACCTCTCCGCTGCCAGGGATTGCAATCAACCAAAACGCCCTTCTCCATGAAGAACAGAAGTTTCTTATAAAGTCATAATTGGCTTTTAGCATGGCCCACTTGAATGGCTCGACAGACTCAGCTGTCCCTGTCACTTGCGATGTTGCAGCCCAAGCAACTGAACCGGCAAGCACCGCTAACCGGTCATTCTTCCGGTATGTAGATCGAACCACAAATGGCTGCGTTGAAGGCTCTGCAGATCAAAGCCTCAGAATTCGATTTCGGCCCGAGAGGCATCTGTAGACCCACATACGCATGTCTAAGACTGGAGTCCTGTGGAATGTAAGCATGTATCGACTTACTCGTCCTCGCCCTAAACGTCTCGATTTCGAACCCTTTCGGTGGAGGAACCAACTAATGGAGCAACACGGGCCGTCATAGGTAAAGTTGAGTCGCCTCGGTCCGTTAAGTTACGTACGCTCGTAACTACTGTATAAAACATCCGGAAGCTCCTTACGTTTCAGCGTTGACACTTGCTTCGCTGTCTCGCCTCCAAGACCCATTCGACGCCCATTGTATTGCGTTCAACTTTGAATACGACGTCCACACCGGCCTTCGGCTAACAGCCTGAACGAAAGATGAGAGCAACTACAGACAACCCCAACAGCGAAGACGCATCGAGTACGAGTGAATGGCAAGTGAGGCATATCCAAGGACACAGCAACTCTGGTGGTACAATCTATTACCGCGTGGCGTGGGAACCAACTTGGGAACCCGCAGACCGACTTCAGCACATGTTGCCAGTTTTGCTCGCTTGGAACAAGCTCCATGGCTGTTCTTACTCCAGGAGAGTACGGTCGTGTCAATGTGATCCTACTCTGGAGCATTGGACGGGAAAGGTCACCGGCCGAAAGAAGGTCGACGGCATGGTGCACTACAAAATCCAGTGGCAAGTGACTACGGAGCCGGCGGTGAATCTAAAGAATGCTCAGAGCCTCGTGAAAGAGTATTGGGACAAAGTCTATGGTCTAGAGCTTGGTAACAGAGGGGAGCACGAAGATGATAGCGAGTCGGTGTGATTGCGGGAATTGATTGCTATTACGAGACCACGTAAAACAACATGAGAGTATCATTCTTTGGTTTTCTGAGATCTTTGGGATGTCTCGCATGATGCTCGCCTGCGTGATAGGACTGAGATCACTTAGCCAACGTGGCGGCGTTTGTAGATGGATCTCATAGATACATACAGTAACGAACTCAACCCGCTCTCTTTGGCAAATCTCCTGGTCCAAGGTATGTAAACCAATGACCAACAATGTATTGCAGACAGACTTGATGATCTGATTTCGTCCCTTCAAACACTCTATGACAGACTCTCTACGATTCATCATCGGACTCTTCCAACCGCCTTTTCCTCGGGTTTTGGCTCTCACTCTGCGTCAACCCCTCTGCTCCAGCACGCGGTCCAGTTGCATCCTCTACCGCGGTCATTGCCAACGCCATCAATGGATCAAAAGTGTCCTCCTCTAGATTCGCATCATCAGATGGTTGGATGTATGTCTCACACAAAGCATTATCAAACGTGCCGCCCGTAAAGTTTGATTGGAGGCCTACAACAGCACCCGACATCTTGCGTCTAGACTCCTGCAGCGACATTGAAAACGCCGCTGGCGACACGGTATTGCATGAGAGTTCCATAGGAGATATTTCGAATTCTAGACTGGCAATGCGCTCGTCTTGCGCGTTGATGGTGTGACGCTGCGTTTCGATCCGTGCTCCGAGTTGTTGGCAGGTTTTGTGAAGTTGCTGAAGCTGCGCATCTTTGGAAGCGGCATAATCGCGCCAACGCGAGATGCATGCTGTCATCTCGTGGATGATGATTGCGACGAGCCTTGCGGTAAGGTTGTCGGGTCTGCCGTTGATGGGGGGCTGGGGTACCTCCATATTGATCTTGACTGCTTTCGATGCTGTGGCTTAATCCATCACTTGGTCTATGTAAACAGCATCGCCGCAAGGAAAGCAATGCCACCTGGGTAATTAAATAGTTCCGACAAACATCGAATCGACCGTTTTGCTGTAATTCATAGCGGGCACAGAATTGCCGATGAAGGGTGTCCACCATACGCAGCCACAACAAGCTCTTGCCGTAAAGAAGCAGACCCGGCTTCTACTCGACCTTCTTCCAAAATTGACGACGTTACAGTATTGTCAGTGATTGCAAACTGAAGTACATACTGTACATACCAAGAGAAGGAAAGCAGGGGGAAGCCAGAAATGCATTTTAGCAGAATGAGTTTCAGGGAGACCTACACACTGTCTGGTGCTCATCAAAGGAGAATGTCGCCTGCAGCTCATCCTCATTATGGCATAGATTTGTATGACGCATATGTGTCTGTTTGGGTACTGTACGGTACGGCTCAGCTGGGTGATGACCGACCAATCATGTATATGGTGCTCCTCCAAGCACCAGAGTTATCACGACTTGGTCGGGTCCCGTCGTAAGGACCACTTTTACCATTGAGAGAACTGTTTTTGTGGCAAGTCCGTTATATCAAGCATAATGTCGCAGGTTGATGTTGGTTCAGGTGTTCAGCGTGTGTCCTTGCGGTCCACAGTACCCGAGTCATGCATTCTTCAAGGATTCCACGACGGTCCATCGCTCCCTCGATTCGAAGCACGAAGCGTAATCAGTGAGCTATTAGAGAGACCCTGCAGATGTCACGCGGTTCTCTCTGATGATTGGTCTACCGACCGATGACAGCCTGCGAGTGTCACTCTAACCCGGCTGAGCTGTGTAGCTATCTCGACAGTCTGCCAAGACTTGAACAGTATAAAAACCCAGTCGTCGCTCAGGTTGCTAGCCTTTGATCTAGTTGTGATTTTGGAATCTTCCTCAAACCATCCCAGCGTCTATCAACCCGTCATAAACGTACTTCTTCTGACATATTTGTATACCACAACGCCTACAAAAGTGGCACCCACAATGACGAGTCTCCGCTCGAAGATTCCAAAGACTGTCACCTTGGTCAACAAAATCAAGGCCTTGTTCGAAGAGATCGCTGTTCGGCTGACGTTTATATGTACATTGAAGTCATGGCCACCCTTCTCCAAAAAGATTTCTGACGTTTAGCACAGTTGCCTCTTTCAAGAAAGTCATAGGTGCCTTGAGATTCAAAAGGGCCGGCACTGGCGAACTTGATGAAGGCCAGGTCCGCATTCAGGATGAACCTCCCTGGTGGGAACTGCAAAAACCGCCGCCTGAGGGACTTATCCCTAGAGGCACGAGCAGCCGTTTTCTCTAAGACAGCGGAAGGTCTACATCGTCTCCCAGTTATACAGCAGTCTATTTTTCGTTTGCCGTTCAAGACTCTTGGGAATCACGTGAGAGACGCTACTACTAACAGCAATGAACGAGGGGACGAGGCATATCGCGTGGTATAGGATATGGGCGCGTGCCGATCAATGGGAAAACATCGGTACCCCTTGTTCATTAAGGATCAATCACCGTACGTTTTCGCACGCATACTGCCAAATAAACGAGTTGAGATGGATGGGCTTTATCTTTGTACCAGAGTGCACGAATAACTCGTAGTCGACATAGACCAGAATGCGAAGTCATCGGTCACAGCTCGCCTCCAGATCACCGCGTCTCAGAATTCACCGCGGGAAGTCAGAGATTGTTACAGTGCTGATGATAGGGTTTGACACATTATAGGCATTCAGGACAGATAAATGAAAACTCCCGTCAGCCAGGCTACAATAATCGAAGCTATTCTTGCCCTTACGACACGATGAAGTCTGTCCAGTCACGCAGAGACCGCTCACACAACCGCCTCCATGGCTGGATCCCACCCAGATAGACCAATGGCTCGACTCTCTTGTGTGGAACGTTCGCGCCGGTCCACCACGCGGTGCTATCGCGAAAAAGGGTTGACTCAAAGGCCTCCGTAACGAGATCTTTCCAAAATACACAAGACTCTTTCGAGGGCTCGATGGAATGCAGATGATCCTGGCTCATCCGCCTTAGGAGCCTTACTACCCAGTCAACCTGGAGCTCAATAAAAGGCGGCGCGTTGGTCTGCGTCGTCGGGCCTTGCGGCCCGTACAGCACAAATGCATTGGGCATATCGGGGATCATCATGCCAAGGTGCGTGTTGATGCCGCTTTTCCAAGCATCCTTCAGCCGGACGCCATTCTTGCCGTGGATGTTCATGTCCAGCAAGCTACCTGTCACGCCGTCGTAGCCGGTGGCCATGATGACAACGTCCAAGTCGTGGTGTGTAGCAACATCAGAGCTACCGGCGAGAATCCCTTGCCTGTCAAAGGATTGGATCGGCGTCTCCTTGAGGTTCACCACTTTGACATTCGGTTGGTCCAGCGTCTCGTAGTAGTTTATCTCAAGGTTGACGCGTGTTGATCCGAACCATTCAAACTGCTGCAAAGGCGCGACGATGTCCATTTTGTTGGGGTCCGTCATCCGGCTTCGCGTTTTTCGAACCCAGAAATCGTACAAGCATGCGTTGGCCTTCTCGTCAAGGACGATATCGCGATAGTTTGACTGTGTGAGGCCGAGGCCACCTCTGTTCCACAACCTCTCAAGTAGGTCGTTTCGTTCGGTCTCTGTCGCGCAGCGTAGCGAGTCAGAATTTTGGACGATATCGCGATAGTTTGACTGTGTGAGGCCGAGGCCACCTCTGTTCCACAACCTCTCAAGTAGGTCGTTTCGTTCGGTCTCTGTCGCGCAGCGTAGCGAGTCAGAATTTTGATTGTATGGGAGGGCCGAAGACGAGCCGAACTTGGCCTTCGCGAATATGGCATCGTAGTAGTGTTTCATCTCCTCTGACTCTCGGTATGACAGCTGTCTCTGATGCATCGGGACCGCGATACAAGGGTTGCGGACAAAAACCGTCAGCTCGCAGTCGAGTTGAGCGAGCTCCTGCACAATTTGTAGACCTGACGCACCCTGACCGATGATGCCAATCTTCTTGCCCGTCAATGAGAGATTGTCGGGCCAAGCGGACGGGTGTATGATGGGCCCATCGAACAGGTCTTGGTTTGGGACAGGTGGCATGTACGGCTTGTTCATCGAGCCGCATGCGAATATCGCATACTTGGACGTCGCGCGTAGCCCGTTAGACGTCCTAAATCGCCAACGCCCGGCCTCGGTGTCGTACTTCGCCTCGTCTACCTGGGCGTCGAAAATGGTGTCCTGGCGCAGATCCAGCGTTGCATCGACATGGCGAAAGTACCGACGGATCTCCTCGCTACCAGGAAACCGCTCCGTGAAGTGGAAATCAGCCCAGACTCTTGGCAAGCTGAACTGGTAGGCGGGCGTGTCGGAATCGACCCTGGCACCGGGATACCGATTGAAATGCCAGACACCGCCAAAGTCGTCTCCGCGTTCAAGAACCTTGGCAGAGAATCCCGCCTCCCGAATCTCGAATAAAGCATAACATCCACTAAAACCTGCGCCAATGATGATGACGTCAGCCTCGAGTGTATTTGCGCTCTGTCCCTCCATTGGCATAAGAAAGGGAGAAATTCGTGTGGTCGATGATCTAATGATTGCAGTCTCTCGAGCGGTAGTGAGGCTGTGTGAACAACGAGATGCAGTCCAATATGGTGAGAGGATCGTGGCATCGACTGCGTCATTTAAGCTCGTTTGTCTCGCACGTTCGCGTGATACTTGGCGGAGTAGCCATTGTGTAGCATGCTACGACTGAAAGCCGTTTTGGGTTCTTTCGTGTGGGGCATTCATGAGAATATCGTCACGGGGGCGTTTCGTAAAGGCACGCCTCACCAAGGACTTGTAGGCAGTTGCGATGGCCATATCTGCCGCTGAGTTGCAATTTCCGTCACTTCGGTTGATGTGGTGTATTCGTGCGTCCAAAACGCACATGTCGTTTCCTTCGCATCCTTGCTTGTTACAGGGCACATAGTCAGCAAGGTCTAGAACACGCCATATCCAAAACTCGTTCTCAAGCCTCTTTGGCAGTCCCAGCCACCGGCCAGAGAGAGGTGGATCTGTTTCCTCGTGTAGTGGGGTCATTGCGCCCAGACATAGCAATGTGGGGGACCACCCTCGAGCCGATTTCGACTGCGCAGCGCTAATGGATATCGTTGGGAGCGTTTTTGTACTGTAACGTTCTAGAATCCGTCATTCCAAGTGGAGCTTCGGACCATGTCTGCTTCCATAGTCGTCGATCTGGATAAGGAAGTCAACGAGCATCGTTAGAGGCACGCACGAGAGGCAATCGATAGCCGCACTGCTTCTTCGCTGTTGTTCTGACGGGCAAAGAACAATGGACATTGTCTCCACTCTCCTGGCGTGTTTTGGTCAGCCCCAAATTGAAACAGGAGCTCCGCGCAGACAGATCGTTGTATAGAATCGCGACCCTGAGAGTTGCGTGCACTATCTATTGCGTCCTGACGATACCGAACTGCAATTACAAAATTCTGAACTATATAACCATTACTAAAATAAACAGCACAAACGTGAGTCTTCAGTATGTATTCGGTCCACCAACCGCTATTAGGAGGAAGCGTAACGCTTCTATACACATAAGCGGACGTTACTACTTTCAAGGAAACTCCTTAACCGGCTATACAAATACTAAAAGGCTGTTTCGGTCAGAATTGTCACATCAAATCGTTTCGACGCACATGCGGCCACGTAGCGAAGACGACCGAATCTAGATTTAGTCAGAATATTCCCTACATCCATTCTCAAAAGAAGTTTTCCAGGCCATCACTAGAAGTATTTAGTACGTCTCGAGGCTATATATCAGTCACTAGGGTGAGCTAGTTTTCATAATCGCGTCGTAACTATACGATACAACTACCCGAAGAGCCTACCCGAGAAGCAAAGTCGAAGTCCGTCGAGGGCTCTTTGCCAAAGACCTAGTTTCGTTCAATCTGAACGCCTGCCACGCTTAATGATAGGGGCTAAACGAACGGAGACGGACGCATGTGATAAGTAGAAGAATTCGAGACTGTCTGCTTCCATCCCAAGCGAAAAGAGGAATCCGCAAATATGGGTCGTTTAAAGTACGCTTCTGATCCAGCTCCTTTCACGTACTTGAAATCTGACTTCTTGCCAGCCAAAAGAGGCAGAAGAAGGGTAACCCTGGCAATCCCGTTCAGCACGAGCCGATCACGCCTGGGGCCACGTTCAGCTGGGTGACGCATGGCAGACTCGTCACGGAGCTCGTCAATGGTAGAATGGTGTGCTATTTCGCGGCGGAGGATGGTCGTGTGGTGGGCGTCTATCTTGGCGTTTGGAGTTGCCCGCCTGTTTTCCAGTGGTCTCCAAATTGAAGGTCTGCATGTGGTTAATTAGCTTACATCACCAAAAGAGGTCTCTGATATGTATCAAGCGGCTCAGAGCCGCATTGCAATACTATCGGTATCTTGTATGTCATATCGATGGCAGACAAGAATATGGCTATGAATATGCTGAAGGATGTGCAAAATTCCGCATGGCTTTACGAAGATACACTCATTCTTTCAGAGCGCACATTTCTTAATTACATGTCGCCATTTCCCTTCAAGGTCCCAGACTTTAGTAAAGTGAGTGATTTTTGACATCATGGCTGAGCTACTTTGCGAAGATTTGTTTGCTTCGTCCGCCCTGTACAAACTGTGACACCTGAAGCCCGGCTCGGACCTGGTTTAATCTCCAAGTTTCTAAGACTAATCATCTGGCTTGACAACAATGTGGTGTTGACAGGATGAAATGTGCTCTCTGGGCGAAACGGTGAAGGACGGCTTTCTATGACACTGCTGTTCCTAAGTTCGTTCGTTTCTTGCGGCCTTGATTGAGATAGAGTAGGTCCGGGAATCCTCCGTGGATAAGCTGGTGACGGAGACTTCGAGAATATACTTGTGGGAGAAAGCAAAACGTTCGCATAGGCACAAGCATCGGCAAGTGCTTGTTCGTCCTGCACTAAAAGGAATTCTGACGGAGATGATGATGTCATTTTCCGAAGTTGCGAGAAGGAGAAACCGAAGGTTCTCTAGATCTTATGACGCCGGAACTATTTATATTCAAAATGCCGGTCACATCAGCCATATTTGACAGTAATCTCATCAGCTTTAACTCTCGAGACAGATGAGCTCTCGTAGTAAGCCAATACTAGGTGGACAGCCAGTTTTGGCGTCAGGTCACGAATGCGGTATATAACAGGATGGTCCATGAGTCCCTTCGCAACCTTGCGTATACGTCGCACTAAGTCACTCGCAGAACGTCACCATGGAGATCTGGGCGTTTGCCAATCTGTACACTACTTCTCCTACAGTCAGTACCGTTCAGTCGCTCTCAAGCACGGTGACCGAGCTTCCTCAAATATGCACTTGTGCCATGGAAGGGGACGTGTCAACCTTGAAAGCAACTCATACGACTACAACTCATACGACTACAACTCATACGACTAGACTTCCCGACAGGCTAGAATCCACCCATGGATTCTGGAACACTACCATCGACCGTAATACCTCAAGCATCAGCACCGCGATCAGTCTTGTTACAGCAACGTCTGGTGGTGATGTTCAACCGTCATGGACTTACCATAAACCGACGGTGCACACGACCGCGGCAATCCCCGTCAGCGCAACCGGTTCACATGGTGCCGGCTGTGACCACCTTGCAGCCTTTTTTGTCTTTTTTCTCGGTGTATACGTATGGGACCGGCTTTATTAGACCCACTTGCTGCTTTCTAGCAACCACGATTACCAGAAACTCACGCAAGATGGGGAAGTGATGGATAGTATGTAGGGTGGACGCGCCCTTTGGCTTGGTCCAATAAAAGGTGCGAGGTATTTTGTCTTGGTGCGCAACAAGATCTCTCGTGTTGGGTACTGTATCCATCGTGCGGTATCAGGTAGGGTGAAGGCTGTACGTTTTCTTTCACTTTTGTAGTTGGATGGCCACCCAGATCGACTTCTCTAATGCTCAGAGGGTGTTGCCGGCGACACCACAAGAGTCTTGATAAAGTGTCTTCGTTCCCCTTTTCCCGACCCGGAAACGCTATGACTTCCTTTATAAAACTCCCTCACATCTGAGAGACTAGTGCTCGAAGGCAAGCTCGAAGGGAACACAGGGCCTCGAAACGCACCAAATCAAAAAGATAGATCAACTTGTAGGATGCCGCGCAGCAAAGTCAGACATTAAGTAGCATTTATAAACTCCCTGCTTTCTTGTACGTAATGGAAGTAATTGATGGATTTCTGTCTATGTTGTCCTAGCAAAACTTGTTACTGACACTCCAAAACAAGCTTCTTCCCTATCGCGGCTAAGACCACCACTGCATGGTCCAAGACTATCGATTACGATGTCACATTTGCTCTCGTGCATCCAACGATGAGCTTGCGCTGTGATGCGGATTGTTAGAAGACGTAAAACATAAGACTTCCATTCGAACGGACCTCGTCGTTTCTTACCTCGGTTTTGGACATGATGTGGCGAGGGTTGACTGCGTCGAGGTTTCCTCCTTTGGCCGGCTGGTGCGTAGCTCGATCTCACATCCTTAGAGTTTGGTAGGCTATCTTTCGCCCCGACGTGAGAGCCTTCTTCATCAGATTTTACAGCATTGGGCTTGGTCCTACAAAGAGGCAGTGATCCTGCTTCATGTCAATGTATTTTACTAATGAGGTGACATGATTCCTCGTGTTGCAATGGCTACTGGTACTCGAGGTTCGATCCATGATGGATCGATTGCGATCTAATCTCCAATTACAGTATTTCTATGGACTCATTCGAAGTCCAACCTATACACATCGTGGGTGCTTTGTGGCGACATAAGAAGACCACCTTCACAGGCGCCGCTGGAATTTTTCTCTGATTGAAGCATTCTGCATCCTCGTTTTATCGCAAACCCGGCCACTTTTGGTTGTTCTGAGTGATGTGGCTAGCAATTCTTAGCGAACGGTGCGTGCTACACTCACCTCGAGCTGACCCCGCCTCTTTCTTCCCGAATCAAGTAGTTGCTTCCGGGTTGTCTTAGTCGCAGGATCGATCATGGCAAGAGTTATTGACTGACTTTGGGTCTCGTAAAGTCGGCCACTTGGCAGGGTGTTCTTCTTCTTCTTTCTTGCCGTCTTCCTGTCCGCGGGGTTCGTCAGTGTTTAGGATGTTCTAGCTTCTAGAAGTGTAGGGCCAGATACTGTAATCATCTCGTATGCATGCCAGTTGTTGGGGTGAAGTGTTTGTGCCAGGAGCAAATCAGTAATGAGACGCTGTGCAGAGATTCCACACTGTGCAACGTCGCTTCTTGGCAACTATGCAGACATCCTTAAGAATCCGAAATCAATCGGCCATCAGATGTGAACCACCGAAAGCCAATTTTGGCTCCATGCGTGGGACGAATCCAGATACAGCTATTTTACCATCCCCACTAAACACCCTGGACGTCATCAAACATGGCAATTTCGAAGTTTGCGTGTGGCCGCTTCTGACTCTGCCGGAGAAGATCGCCAGAAAGATCAGAAATCAACTGCGATGACGATTTCATTGTCCAACATGACCGGATTCCAGGGTCGGATGCGGCTGCAAAGTGCTGTTGCGGGCTTACCAGCGTTCGGCCTTTTTCGATGTGGTATGATCTGGCCACCGCACCTTATCAAGCAGAGTCGAAGCATCAGACCATTACAGTATCTTCATTGATCCAAGCACCTTTGAAACGTCCAGAATATCTCTTGGCTCAGCAGCAGGATTTAGATCTTGCAGTTGCTAATGTAGTTTTCATGGATCTGTGATGTCGCTTGAATATTTTTTTTTTCGATTGAAGTCTACATGTGACCCAACTAATCAAAATTTAACTAACCGAAAACGACTGCTCGCTTCACAGAGGCCAGCCAGATACATTGCTAGCTGCTCGAACTGTATGAGTTGTATGAAGAAGAGCAGACGTTGGTCGAAGATCAACAAAGAGCTGCGGTCTACGAACCACAAGATGTCAAATTGGCTCACTTCGAACTTCAACACAGTCTGTAATGGCCTCTATTCCATATCGTCGTACTTGAGGGCAACAGAATCCTATCTCGATAGCTATTCTCGGGCAATAGGCTGCATTAGATCATATTCGGATTGTAGATCACTCAACTCGCAACACCATGGCCTCTGTGTCGTCGGACAAGATCGTCTTCACACACGACAAAAAGGCCAAAGAGAAGGTCCGGAAGGGTGGGGCAAGCGCGAAACGAAAGGCCGTGCAGCTGGGCGAGGGAGCCCATGTGTTCTCGGCCGTCGTCCATTTCAATCCGACTTACGGTCAATTAGATGGAGCTGTCCACGTACCGGACGGCCAAAGCATTCCCGACGTGAATCGTTTTGTAGGTCTTGGCATAGATGCCTTGTGCCGTTTGCATGAATGGCTTGAACTGACGTCCATCCGAACCAGCTGGTGGAACTCGTCAAGGGGATGCACGGTATTGGACGCCGACGGCGGGTTACACGCCGTCGACGGAAGAGATCAACGTCCGAACCTGGCCAAAGCACGGCGGAGATCGGCGACCCCATTGAGGCGGGGGAGGTCGGAAGCAGCGTGCGGGGAACACCCGATAGCGTGGGGGACGAAGACGCAACGGCGAAGGAAGTCACAAGTGGGGAAGCGGATGCCCCACACGAAGTCGAGGTCGATGACGGCGGCACCGTGTCGGGCGTCCGGCAAGACGAGGCTGATATAGGCGAACCTCCCAGCAACCCAGCAGAACATGAACAACGGACGGATTTAGCACCACTCAACCACGATGCCGAGGGCATGATGGAGGAGTTTTCCATGAGCGACGCTGACACTGCGAGTGCGATCGGCGCGGCTGAAGAAGGTTCCTTCCTGGGGCTGCCTGAGATGGACTTGCGTGATATCTTCGAGATGGAAGCTTGCGCGTCTACGTTTGTGTCAGTTGGTGACAGCGAGCTGGGTACGTCGGAAGGACAGTCGAGCGATACCATTCATGGTCAAGAAAGGTGGGAGGTGGAGACAACGGGCGAAACGCGGAAGGAGGGTACGGCGGCAGCCGAAAGGGCAGCCTTAAGCCATCAGCCGAAAGTTCCACAGACGCGAACAATTGCTGCCGCACGTGCTTACCGACCTGACAGGAGTTCTTTCAAGATCCACCGGTTCTTTTGTCGGGTTTCTCAGCGGATCCGGCTTGCAAGATATGGAGGGGAACTGGACACCGGACATGTCTAATAGCTGTCGAAGCTGTTCACGCAGGTCCTGGCGACGGGGCCGTGCAGAGATCAAAGAGTGGGTCCGCGATGTATGCAGGGTGGTTTATGCAATTCTTAGTTCATTGAAACTCATCCACCTAATGGAAGAAAAACCGTACAACTATAGACCTGAGTTGCAGTGATCGTGTAAATGAACCCAAAACTGAACAAGTCAGGTTGGGGCAAAGGTACTTGGTGATCTTAGTTGAGAAAATCTCAAGCAAGCAACGTCAATGGATTCATGCGCTTGTTGCCTGCTCCTACGTTCAAGGTAGCTAAGATGTTTGTGCATATTAATCAACATGAGCGTCAATCCCGGTAGAAACCCGATTCTTCAACCTTCGAGATGACTGGCTCCTTGTCTTGGAGCATGAAACGTGTCAGCGACAGGCCGGTGCTCTGGCAGACAGCCTGGATCGCACGGCCGCTGCCACCGCCGACGTCGACCATTAGTACACGATCGGCGACTGACAGTTTCGATGCATTGGCGATCCATGAGAAATCATACACGCCGATGATGGGCGCCAACGATCCAACGCCGTCATTGCCCGCGTGAATGACCTTTTTTTACTCTGGTTGTTGTAGATGTTCCACATATCACTTTTCATCATGCCCTTAGTAAACATCAAAGGACTAGGGCCAAGGCCGTCCGGCTCTTTCCGCCCGTTGCTTCCAGAATACCGAATCACGTCACACCCAGACAGGCCATGGTTGATCCTAGTGACAATAGCCAGAGCCGGAAGTGCCGGAAGTGCCGTCGAAGGGGTTCCTATACGACCCGGTTCAGGTCTCCGTACGGATTCCCGGGCAGGAAGATAGTGAACCTAGTTGTGTACGCGACGTGTTTAGGCCCGGCTTCTCTTAGGACGCCCATGACAACGAGCATATACGGGCGATTCTCGCTGGAGAAGTCAACAGGTAATGGATGGCACAAGGGATTGGGCGATGTCACTTACTGAGAAGGGAAATATCAACGCCAACACGCTGGCCTAGCTCCACGTAGTATACCAGTTGTTTAACTGGGGTATGTTGAAACCCCTGCCATTCACCGAAGAGCTCAATGGCAACCAGTTTGTTCCTTTGGATGCTGTGCATTAACTGCTAATCCCCGGGGTGTGTAACGAGACTGCTAATGTCTCCCGTCAATTCGAGAATGCCTGACTGGAGGGAAGCCTCTCATGCTTGGTCAGTATTGCCGCGGAGCGTGAACTCCGTGATTGCCCCGAGCAGGTTTATTACCAGCTGCCGAACAGCGTGGCAATTCTCAACCGAACCAGAAGCGCCCATTACCGTGAATGAAAGGTGATGTGGTATGAAAGAGGCGACACAAACGATGGTTGAGATTTGTACTTTTGGAAGTCGACTGAACAGCTGTGTCAATATGCGCAAGATTGCACATTCGCTCATCATGAGGCGAAAAGGTGATTGACGAGGACGGTTTCAATACTGTACACAAGAATGCTTTTTGAGATGTTACGCACAATACGAACTGTAGATCAATGGAACGCGGCACCGGTCCGGATTTCTTCATGTCGAGCCGAAACTTGCTACACACGTACCCGTCTAGACTAATTGAAACCCGCTCGCCACATCATTGATCCAACCTTCTGGGCTACATCGCCTGTGGGCACGTTTCTGCTGTTGAGAAACCCGAAAAGAATTTTCTACCAGTTGCCGGCGACACTACGCTGTAACACGTTCGTCACCCTGGTGATCATCTTCTTACTTCCTGAATTCCTGGTCCTCAACCCTCGCGGACCAGACGAGTCGTGCCCCTGTGGAGCGTTCTTTACGTAGTTTCCATTTTCTAATAGTAGCTACTTCCTTTTCATCTCTTGTGAGCGGAGCAATTCCTTCTTGTTTTTATTTTATTTATGTTAAGTTTTTCATTCTTGATTGTAATATCCATAAGATTTCTGCAAGGTTGGCTCTCGACGATTTATATAACAGCTGTCTGGTTGAATGGTTCATAATGCAAAAAGACAATCTCGCTCCGAAAATGGCACCCACACGATAGGCTTTTTCAGTATGTATGTACTGCATACATACAGAACTACAGTTCAGTATCAAATGAGACTCCAGACTAGCCATTGCAACCCTACACTACTGTACAACTGAAGATGATGGCATCTTACGCCCCCAAACCTTCTTAAACCAAAACCACGGGTGCGTCAAGCCTGACCCCATCTCCGCTTTCAGGGCGGCAACGTATTTTCGATGTGTCCAATATTCCACCCAGTCGACGTACACGGACGCAGAAGAAACCCCAAGGCGTCCTTTTCTATCGCTGACTGCGCGCAGCGTCCCAGCCATTCGTATTCTTCATCTCTTGGCCACCTCCCGATCGGTATCTGAGATCAAACGTTAAACTTCTCTCCAAGCACTGGTGGTAGTAATGCAATCCATACCTTATAGTTGAGCTCCCGGATGTCACTGAAGTGTGCCTCTTCCAGAGCCCGTTTTTGTATGCCCTCTTGTACTACAGAGAACGTCTGTCCAATCTGAGCCCCGTATTGTTCGAAGACTCTCGACCACTGGTACCAGGAACTTCTCGCGTTCACTGTGCCGTCATCGCTCTGGATGAGAAACGATGGCTCTGAACTCTCGAGAATACCGCCTTCCTTCAAGCAACGATAAGCTTCGCCCACTAAAAAATTCCAATCACGAACGGAACCAGCCAGGAATCGCATGTTGATGTAGTCGAGCGAATTGTCCTTGAATGTCCACGGTTCGTTGAAGTCATCAATCTGGCTGGAAGAGGAGTCAGCATTGCTATGCAAGGAGGAGCTCTCGCAAATTCCAATTGTCGATGACAAAGGACAGGCTGGACTGACAACTCTACGTTCGGCGGAACATGTTGAGGCTGAATCGGTGATAGGTCGATTCCAACCACGAGGGCGTGTGGGTGACTTTCGCCAACTTCGCTGAGGCAAGAATGTCAGCATTACTTCCTTGACGCCTTTTATGTATACGGCCATACATAGCCCAAGCACCTGTCCCAGTCCCAACATCCAAGATTTTCTGCGAGGTAATGAGCATACTTGCGAGCGGCTTGATCCAGAGCAACAATACCTGGGCGTTCTCTGGAAGGTTGGCAAGGAAGAGCTCTCCATGCAAAGTCTCGCACAACAGGGAGTGCCTGACAGAAATTAATTAGCATCATGGTGCCCCGGGTCACACGTCTTTGACTGTCCTGACCAAAGACCCATCGCCTCACTCTGCAATTCGTCATTTGGGGCCCTGGTCAAAGTCGTTAGTTTTCAGTCACTTGTGTTTTCCGGCGGCGTGTACCAGTAAGTGGAACTAAAGATGTCACTGTGATAACTTCTGCCACGTAGATGTTCGTAGTCCAAAACGTCGGCAGTCATCGACTTAGTCGAGCAGTGGTCGTCATCAAGGCCTGGATCGGATTCGTCGTCTTGCCATTCTGTCTGATGAGCCTTCCGTTAGTATTGTCATTGGAGTAACTGGAAAGAGAGATCTTACCTCGTTTGGAGTTATAGTTGTTGTTGTTGTTGTTGTATTTAACGCCGTGGCGGCCGGGCTAGAGCCCTTACCGCAGACCTCCCGAAGGGTATATGGCGTGGAGGGCCGTGAGCCAAGGCTACCTACTCTACAGTACGTCGTCTCTTTACATCGTCCTCCAAATCATGCCTTGTGGCCACTACGCGTTCTGTCTGTCCCCGGTTCCCGCTGGTGCCCCAGTTTCATTCTTTCCCAAATCGTCCCTTGGAATCGGGAGGTTCTTTGTAGTCCGCACTCACATCTACCTAGGTGTGGATGCTGCTACTGCAGACAGATCTTCTGGAAGAAGTCCGTCACGCGGAGAAAGGCCTCGAAGCCTCGTGGGTCGGTGATTAATCTCTTGAAGTAGGCCTCGAGAGATCCCATAGGACCTATGGGCTCGGGCATACTGCGAGAGTGGAGGGTCGGCCACCGTTGCCTCCTCGCCAGCGTTAGTCGACAGTAGACCAGGTGGTCCACGTCTTTCGCCTCTCCACAAGAGCACATCATTAGAGCGTCGTCGTGGTTGAAACGTCGGTGATATTGCTCGAAGTCCCCGTGACCCGATCGTGCCGCCAGCAGGTGATGTAACGTAGCCCGCGGCAAGGCCAGTTCAGGAGGGCTGGACAGAGCTGCCTCAAGCCCCAAGTCCGCGTACCGCGGCCTTCGCTCTTTATACCACCATCTCCTGTGCTGGCTTTGTAATTTTTCCCTTGCAAGCCGCTTGATGCCCGCTAGTGTTGCCATTTGACCCATCCGCGCCGGCAGTGTCGTTCCTTCTTTGGCCAGCCGGTCCGCGGCCTCGTTTCCTTCGATGCCCTGGTGTCCCGGGGACCAGTGCGTCCGTATATCAAATATCCTGGCCGCTTCTTGGATTTCGAGGAACGCGTCTTGTGACGAGTCCGGCGCCTTGCCGCGGATGCCTTGTATAACGCTGGTGTTGTCGATACATATGTGGATTGGATGACCGCGATTGGTGAGCAGAGCCCTTCTGAGGCCGGTTCGCGCCCCTTCGACCTCGGCGTCGAACACTTCTGCTAGTCCGAGTCGGCCGCACCCTTGCGCTATGCGTTTGGAGTCTCGGTAGATGACGAAGCCGTACCCCACGGCTCCGTTCGTCGCCCTGGAGCCGTCCGAGAAGACGATCATATGGCTTTCCGGTACTGTCTTTAGCCAGCGCTCGAAAGCTTTCGCAGCCTCTTCTTTGCATTGAACTACTATCTGATCCTGTGAGCTTGGCAGGTACTGTGATTGGAGGAACGTTGGTCTTCCGCATCTTGGCAGAAGTTCAGCCGTCCGTTGTAGTCTCGTCTGTTGCTGTCCCTGCTGGGAGAGCCGCGCGACTAGCGGGTGTCGGCGATCAATCCTCTGTAGTCGGACTGCGGCCCGTAAACGGACGCCTTCTAAGGCGACTTTGGCTGACGGTAAGCCGGCGTCTCGGAGGAGGCTACTGGTTGGCGTTGTCCTCCAGACAGGTAGAACGATCCTTGCTGCCGCTGTAATGACGCTGTCGATCTTCTGCACGAGCCCCTTCTGGCCTGTGTTGACGGGTCTTCCTTGGAAAGGCGGACTCGTGTCTGTCTCCGCTTGGCGTCTCGAAGCCGGCTTCGTGATACCTGCGTACCATGTTTCGGCGCCGAAGAGCGCGATCGGCAGTACGTAGGAGACGACGGCTTTTCGCACGGCGGCCGCTGGCAGTCCTCTCTTTGTGTTTGTAAGCTGCCTCAGGTGTTGAGCTGCCTTCTTTGCCGCAGCTACTCTTGTGTCGACGTGGTGCCGGAAGGACAGTCTCTTGTCGAACCAGACACCCAGCCAGCGTACAGGATTTGTCGAGGCCTTGACCACCAAATCCCCCGCCCTGACCTCTGGCAGCTCCGCTGGCTGGCTGTGCTTCCTAGTAAAGTGGATGACCTCGCACTTGCTCGGGTCGAAGGAGACCTTGTTCTCCGAGCCCCATCTGAGAATGCCGGCTGCGCTTCGGTTGAGTATTGCGACGTTGCTCTCCAGGGAGGGGCTGATGGCCAGAGTGGCGATGTCGTCCGCGTACCCGAATCGCGCGTCCGGGTCGTCTTCAAGGATCTCCGCGATGTAGAGCAGAAAGACGATGGGAGATAGTGGCGACCCCTGAGGCAGCCCGCATGACAGAGGAAAGTATTCCGTCGTGCTTTCTTCCAGTCGGACTCTGGCGATGCGGTTGCAGCAGAAGCTGAAGATGAGTCTAATCAAGCCGTGTGGCCATCCCTGCTGACGCAGTCTAATGACGAGCCGGTTCCGAAGGACGGAGTCGAACGCCCCTTTTACGTCCATAGTCAGAAGCGTCGCCGTGAGCCCTTTTAGGAGGGCCGTTTCGATATCGTGGGCGAGGCAGGTCGTCAGATCGACGGCTGACCTGCCTTGTAGAGCTCCGATCTGTTGCGGACTGACGATGCGCTCGACAATCGCCAGAGAAGCCATCCTTCTGGCTATTAGTCTCTCGAGTCCTTTGCCCAAGCACGAGAGGAGCGCGATCGGCCGCCAGGACCCGGGCTTGGAGGCATCCCTGCCGGCCTTCTGGATCATGACCACCTCAGCTCTGCGGAAAGGCAGAGGAAAGTGGCCGGCCCGCATACAGGACTGGAATAGCTGCCTGACCGGCTCCGAGATGACGCCCCAGCAGGCCTGGAGGAGGCGCGTGGTGATCCCGTCCACACCAGGGGTCGTTGTCTTTGTTAAGGTGGCCGTCTTCACTTCTTCTCCGCTAACATTGTCCTGCCAAGTAATCGCTCGCCTTGGGACGACGGGTACGTCAAACGGATTACCCGGTGCGTCATCTTCCGCACTAAACCTGTCGAGAAGGGCTTCCCGAAGCGCTTGGGCCTTTTCGTCAGTATCCTCGATCGTCTGGTTGTCCACAACCAATGGGGGTGCTCTGGTCAGTGGGCTCGCCTTCCGCCAACCCATGATCTGGTACAGGTCCCGGTCTGAAGCGACTCCATCGATCTTTCCGGCCCAGTATGCTCGCTTAGCCTTCCTCACCGTGCTCAGGAACGCCTTTCGTTTCTCCATTAGATAAAGGTGCGCATCTTGCTCCGTCTCCCAGGCTTGTTGGTTGCGGGCAGCACGGTATGCTCTGTGGGCCTCTGCGCATTCCTCCGTCCACCAAGCCGCGCCTTTACCATGTTTTCCTCTCTTCTTGCCGACCGCCTCAATGGCTCGGGAGAAGAGCTCGACGATGTGACTTGCCTGCCCGTCCAGGTCTTCCGGAGTAGGTTGATCCCCCAGATTGGGCATCGCAGCTAGCCCCCCTTCGATCAGGTCTCTCAGCCGAGGCAGCGCCGAGTCGGGCACTGACAGTGGCCGTGGCTGCGGGTGGCCCTCTCCCTGTGACACTGGGCGTTTGAATAGTGGTATGACGGCCACGATGGCCTCGTGGTCAGCTCCCGGGTGTAGCTGTGGGCTGACCTGCGCGTGCGCAAAAGGGATATTAGAGAAAGCCAGGTCCAGGACATGTCCGCAATCCTGGGTTGCCACCCCAACTTCGCTGATAAGAGAGAGATTGTGGCCGTCTGCCCAGCCTGCAATGTCATCTCCCCGGTTCCCGTTCCTCGTCCCGGGCTCCCAAGAGTAGTGATGCGCGTTGAAGTCACCCGCGATCAAAGCTCGCTCCGGGGGTTTGAGTTCTAGCAGTATCCCTGTTGTGCGGCTGTGGGGGTCGCGGGGTTGTCTGTACACGTTGACGATAGTCGTCGTTTTGTCGACCACCAGCCACAGTACGTCTCTCGTGTGGACAGGCCTCTGCTGCTCCACCGTCATCCCTATCCCTTTGCGTGTGTAGGTCAATACTCTTGGTCTGGTTCCTTCGCTGTCCCAGAAGTCGACCGGGACGAAAGAGTCGAAACCCGGGTGCGTGTTCAGTTGCACGTTTCCGTCCTTCCAGCCCGTCCAGGGTTCCTGGACGAGGACCACATCTATCTGAGCCTCCCAGCAGAGCTGCAGGAAAGCCGTGTGCGCCGGGGAGATCTTTCCGACGTTGCCCTGCGCAACGCGTAGCATCCGTGGGGTCGCCGCTCTCGGCTTACGTCTCCGAGTCGAGTTCGAGGTGGGTGTAGGCATTCGCGACGTTGTAGTTTGGCTTCTGTGCTGCCCGTTGGCTCCTGCTTGGCATGGGTAGCACGGGACGGTCGATGGAGGTGTTGTCGGGGGAGTCTTCGCCTTCGCCTTCGTCCGCCTCGTCTTCATCCATGCTGCTGCTGTCAGTGCTTCCGTCACCGAGGCAAACGATCGAGCTTGCGGAGGGCGTTCTCGTGCGCGCGCGCTTGGCGCCGGGTTGCTGGTTCTGGCTGGTGGAGGTAGGGACGCCTGCCGCCTCCTGGCTACTGTCGGATCGAGTAGCCTTGTACAGAGTGTCCGATGCTTTCTGGCCGGCCTTCCGGATCCGAGCCCGCTCCTTTCGACCGGGAAGGGAGACGACGCCGTTTACGACCGAGGGCCTCGCTGGGCAGTCTGTGTGGCCGGCTTGGAAGGGGCCGCAGCAGTTGGGACACTGGGGCCTGGCCATGCAAGGTCCCGTTTCGTGTGAGTCGGAAGGTCTTCCGCAGTTGCTGCAAGTCGGTCGTCGTCCGCAGAACCGGTTGGCGTGGTAGCCCTGGCAGCCGGGGTCATGTCGGATGAGCGTCCTTCGTTTTTTGATGGGCAGAGATCTGCCGCTTTGGTTGAAGAGCCTGAAGGGCGTGACCTCTGATGTGAATGATATGAGCCAAGATATTTCGTTCGTGACTGGGTTGGGCCCAAGGCGGGACGGTCGAGCAAGGACAGGCTTCTGTCCTGTCTGTGCGAAGACCTCATCTTCAACGAGTGTGGCTGGGTCCAGGACGTCCCCGCCAATGCTGTGTAGTTTTGTTGGGCATCGCGGCACAACGTATGTGTGCCACTTGATAGGCGTCTCGACTTGGTGGGCGCCGAGGCATTCCGCCAGCTTTGCCTTACTTGTAAGTAGTCTTTCCTGTATTTGCTTGTTTCGCGGCTTCAGAGAGTAACCTGTGCTGATATG